TTGTTTCATTTTACAAAAGGATGGAGGCATGACTCTGGTTGGTGTTATGGTGATGTATTGATCAGGGACATGATGTTTTGGGACAGAAAGAGAGCTTGTGATCACCAAGTGGGGTGTGTTAAAGGAAGGGAAGCCATGGGCTGTGGGCATGCATCAAGTCACATCAGATTCGGGGCCAGTGTGGACACTGGCACTGATACAATCTGAGTCTTTGTGTGGTCACCCAAGCTAAATACAGCTGTAAAAGAGATTGTGAATCAAGCCAAGTCAAGCCAAATTGCTATAATCTGGCTTGCCAGTGTAGTCCTGTACTTATTGTGGCTTTGTCACACACAGTTGCAGGGGTGGGCAAAGTATAGCCTGCTAGCCACCTGCAGCCCCTAGGGTGTTGTGTTTGTTTGTTTTTTTGTAAGTCCCCAGGCCATTCCAGAACTCTCCTCTCATGGCCACTGGTTCACAACATATATTACCAAAATCAACTATATCTGCAGTGTTAAGAGAAGTGGGATCCTCCGAGGACTTCCACCTCAAATAAATAAATAAATAAATAAAATTTTAAAAAGGAAGTATATTACCAAGGTTTTGTACCCCTCCCATGTCTGCATTTGGCTACATCTGGGCCTGATGTAACCCATGGCATATTTGGGGGCTGAAAATGTGGGCCCCTCCAATGTTGCTGAAACCCCTCAATTCTGCCATAGTGTGACCAAGGAATGGGTAGTGCTGTGCATATGTGCACAAGCACTGAGTACTCCAGATGTCCTGCCGCTGGCTTTGGGAAACTATTGCCAGCCTCCTTCTTAGAGCAATGCCAAAAGCTGTAACTGAAGGCAGTTGTTACGACAAAGGAGGGAAGTGAAGAGCTACGACAAAAGGAGGGAAGTGGCCTCCCCATTTAATTTAGTTTGTCCTTCAACAGTGACAAAGATTGAGTGTCCAGGTTTGTGCTACTTGATAGCCACATCATCGGAAGAAGGGATTCTTTTAAGTGCTGAAAGATGTCTGACTGACAAAGCAAGAACTTTCCACACTTTTGGTTTGATAATTAGCTTCTTTTGTTCTGTAATTAGTCACTGGCAGATAAACAAGGGCTTTGCTTGCAAGTATGACTGCTCAGGCGCATGCAGCTGTTTCAGACTCTCATCTTCCTGGAATAATAACAGGATCATGGGTTCTAATTACATAGTATCTGTAGTGGACAGTTTTACCTGAAGACTGTTAGTGAGGCATCAAAGCAAGGGAGATGACACCAATGGACCGAGCAACGGGGAGATGGCAAAGCAGCCTATGATAAGTTGGAACTGACTTACAGTAACCCCAACAGGGCTCGCAAGGTGAGTGAGATATTTAAGGAGTAGTTTTAGCAATTCCATTCTCCTGCCTCCTAGTAAATTTCCATGGTTGACCAGGGGCTTGAACACAAGTCTCTCAAGTCCTAGTCCATACTTCTGTTTACTATATTACCCTGGGTATCAGATATCTTCACCTGATTCCATACCCTAGCCTTTTTTGTTTCTTGCCAAGAGAACTCTTGGCCCCTTTTGCCCATAACTGGAGGCCACCTGATCATCTATGTCATATTGGAAATATAATAGTGGACTAACCGCTACAACTTACCCAGATCTGGTTTTTCTCTCTCCATTGTATGTCGATTGGATTTATTCTGGACAGAAAACATAGGGAATTTGGTTCAAGTAACAATAAGGAAATCAGCAACAATGTCATCTAGAAGATTAGTCACAAGTTCAAGTTTCAAAAATATTGAAGATTTCTGTGTTTAATTATACTAAGCTTAGCCACGTCAGACTAAACAGCAACTGCACACAATAGCTTGTGATCCATTCCCCCTTGCACTGATTGATGCATTAGCAAAGTTGGGCTTGTGTCATAGAACATTTCTAAGTGTTTAGAATTCTAAAGAGAAAATATCTGTCTGTAGCGCAATGGCTTATGTATATTACAGAAGCTGAAGTGAAAGGGTCAGGTTTCAAAGGCGGAGGGGGGCAAAAAAAAAAAAAGACAAGGGTAGATGGTAAATAAATTTCAAAATCCATATTACAGTAATACCTAAATTAGGCTAACCAAAGAGCCAGAATGAATGCAAGTTTTCAACATTTTCATAGGAAAAATCAAACAAGAAATACGGACAGAAGAAGCTATATGCTGTTTGCAGGAAACAACAAGAGAGATACAATAAAATGACACCAAAGAGGCCAACCATTGAGAAGCTGGAATAAGGGGATTCCAGGGGTGGTGGATTCAAGAAGCATGGACAACAGCATTTTGTTCCATTAGGGCAGGTGGAAAACTGCCCCACTGGAGATTCGGTCTATCCCAACCATTGTGCCCCTTCTTAAGAGAGGCAGAAGGTGAGGGCACTGCCTGTCAAGACTAGTCTAAGACTTTTTGCTGCTGGAAGTAAATAGCAAATGGCAAACCTCCTCCTTAAAAAATGGCAAATAGAACTCAAAAGTAGCCAAGTTATGCTGACATCTGGATCATAAAATCTTGCTAGTCCCTCTCCTTATCTCCTTGGTAGGAAAAATGCAGTAAAAATAAACTAATAACTCAACATTTGCTGCCTTTTTCTAATAGAATCTGCTGCCAGAGGTGGCTGCTTAACCCTACCTAATATTAAGGCTAGCCTTTCCATCTATGTTCTCCTGCTATGTGGTATGAATGTGAATAAACATCAACTTTTGCTCTTTTTTCTGTGCTGGGTCTTCAGAGATGGCCCTCCCATCAGACAGAGCAAAGCAAGTGATTCAGGCAGTGAACACTGAGGTAGCAATGGAAATTTCCTGGCTTGTCTTTTGAACACACTAACAGCTTCTCTCTCTGGAAGGACAGAGATGTGCATGGCATAGAATCTGTCCTGGACCTCCTAAACTAGAGTGTTGACTAGAGATATTGTGGAGGGCACAATCCAAGCGCAGTGTTCAAGGAAGGTTCAACAGCTAGGCCAGTCAGCCTCTGCATATGGACTGGAGAGGGAGCATAAAAAATGAGGCAGCCCCATGGGCCTTCTGTCAGCCTCTGTGGGCATCAGCTGCTACTGAGTAAGGAATATTAAGCTGTGGAATATGAAGTGTGGATGTGATGGGGGACTCTTCCTTCACCTCTCAGTTTCCTCCCTGCCTACTCTAGTCCAAAGACTAAAGGCCTGTCCACACTGGCATCTAGTTACAGTACATGGATTGCTGATAGCACAGTTTGAATTTTGGGGGGGGGACGACCTTGTCTGCAAGTGTTGGTACTTAGAATTTGGGGGAGACCTTGTCTGCAAGTGTTGGTACTTAGAATGTGCCATCCTTCCCCTTTAAGTGCTGTTATGCACCTTTCTGGTCCAGCAGTAAGGCATGCATTCTTTTTTGCATGCTCATTGTTTAGCCTATTTAGCCAGGAGACAGCAGTCTCCAGCAGCCTCAGATTCTACTGCCATCATCCCTGTAGGAAAAGTTGGGGAGAATGAGGGGAGGGAAGCAAGAAGGGGGGAAGTGAAGAAATCGAACAGCATTGACAGAGGGAGAAGATATTTTAAAAATAAAAATAATTTCACTTCACCTGACCCTCCACAGATGATCAGGGGAAGCATTTAATTGACAGCTAATTGGGTTACAAAGGGTCATTTGTTTTTGAATGGGAGGAGCATGCCTAATGGCACACCTCTGCTCCCCTGGACCTCAACAGAACTTTTGTAGCCTGATTCACCTCAAACCCAAAATGATCAATCTGGACAGGTCCTAAGTCTTCCTAGGCAGAGGGACTGGGAGGCAAAACTGCAGAATGGGGAAGGGCTAAGCACCCCTTCTTGCTCACCAATCTCAATCTTAAACTACCCTTTGCACCCTTTCTTCTTAATTAAGAACCTATATTGGTTTCTGGGACAACATGCAGCTTTGACCTTAGTCCACTATTAAATTAAAACTCAGAAATAATCTCTCATTTTATTAAAAAAGTTTTACAAAATAAAATTAATTTCTCTTCTTACCTTTTTCATAGTAGAGCCAGACTCTGTATTTTAATAAAAGAAGGAAAAATTATAACAGGCACAGGGGGAAAAGGGAATGTGACAATTAATATTGAGTAGACAGTCTCTGCCAGGATCCTTGTCTTCAACAAAAGAAGGCAGCTCTGATCAGGTGCTGCTAGTTCTGCAGAGCCCAAAAAAAGAACTAGCAGAGGTTTCAATCATTTCCTAGGGCAGAAATGTTCAGTATCTCCATCTTAAGACCTGTAATAAGGATGGAGCTACACACCCTACCTTCTGTTCTTAACCCACCTCTACAAGTGTGTATTGACATAAAAGCCTGTCTCAAAGGGGCAGGATAAGGTACCCTTCCCTGTTTGCGCCATGGGCTAGTTGCCTTGAATCCATGCATAAAATTGGGGTGGAACCCAGTGATTCTCCCAGTTATTCACAGTTTCTTAAGATGTGAACATAACTTGGGAGTCTGATCTTCCAAACTTTAAAGCTTTATCTTCCAAAAATTAATAGAATTCCCCCCCCCCTCAAAGCACTACAGATCTCCCCTTTAAAATAAGTGCCAGAGTAGGTAGCAAGTCATTGAAAACTGACTATTGTTTTGCTGAAGTCGGCATATCAAACTGTGCAAGTTACTGCAGGTATTATATAAGTTTAATTCTCAAGATATACTGCATTATGGAACCAAAGCCTTTCATAAATAAGGTAAGAAAATGCTTTTTATTATGAGCAATGAGGGAAAGGCGAATGGAAGAGGGAGGGCCTGCATATTGGAATTAGCTTGGAAAGGGGAGTGAGATAATGCCATAAATACTTTATTTACAGCACATTAAGTCCTTAAAATCACTGAGAATAAAATTTCCTTTCAGTTGTCCTGATAATGGCTTCATCACGTTATTGCCCTGCCTTATTCACCAATAGACTCAGGGAACTATAGACCTGAAAGGGACTACAAGGGTCCCTGAACTGAACTCCTTATCAAAGCAGGAACCGCCTGCTAAGGCATCCCTGATATCTTTGGCCATCACCCCCTTCTGTTTAAATATCTCCAGTGAAGAAAAATCCTCCACTTTCTGAGGTCGTACATTCCATTGCCAGACAAGTCTTACTCTCAGAACGTTCTTCCTAATGTTGAGTTGAAATAAGTCTTTCTTACAATTTGAATCTATTACTTCAGGCCCTACCGTCTGGATCCAGAGGAAACAAGTTACATATGACAGTGGCATTCTCCACTCTTAAACCTCCTTTGCTGTTCTACTGTTTCCTCTGTCTTTTTTCTTACCATTGAAAATCTGTCCAGGAGAAAAAGACAGAATGGCTATGCAGTGCCGTCTGATAACTACATAGCATGAGGAGCCCTCTGTTTGGAAGCCCCCTTGTTTCTGATGGGAGGAGAGAGGTATCTCCTGGTTCTCCTTTACAACTGAATGAGACTGAAAAGAAGCAAACTGTCTGTTCAAGACTATGCGGAAAGGCCATAATTGAGCTGAACAGCAGTGCTCTCATCTGCTTGTATCACCTCCACCTATGCTTTCATTAATGCCAGAACATTCATCTCTAAACAGTGGCTTGCTGAAAAACCAGGGTGGGATACCTTTGGCTCTCCAGATGTCTGATATTTCTGAAGTCACAGCCAACATGGAAAATAGTAAGGGCTTGTACGCAGGTCGGTCAGTCTAGTCTCAAAGAGCTGCAAGGCACCAGATTCAGCAGCCCTGCCCAATCTGTCTCCGGAACGCTAAGTTTAGGGGCAGGAAGTAAAGATACACGCACAGGAATTTCCCTTCTTCGAAAGACTCCTCCATCCCTTATAGCAGAGTAGAAACATACCCGAATTGGACTTTCCACATGGTGACACTCGGCCCAGACATTCCTTGTGAGCAGGTGACCGGCATTTGCTACAACGATAACCCTGGTAGAAGGTTCCTCTGTATGCACATGGGGAAAAGTGAGGAGGAAGAGCCTCATGTGTTTTGTTCTTTGGGATAAAGTAGAATCTGACTTAACTATCTTACTGGATGTCTTTTCACTGGCTGCATATTAAAGTTCAGCTGGTGCTTGGCTGCAGCTAAATATCCATGTTGCAAAGTATAGAAACATAGAAGTACAGAAACACATTTCAAAGTATGGAAACATTCGAGAAGTACAACAGTAGAACCAGTTACCTTGGGAGCTGGTGAGTGCTCCAACGCTGGAGGCATTCAAGAAAAGTTAGGTAATCACCTGGCAGATATTCTTTGATTTGTATTCCTGCATTGAGCAAGGGGTTGGACTTGATGGCCTTGTCGGCCCCTTCCAACTTCACTTTTCTATGATTCTATGACTGACATAGAACTTCCCTGCATTATCATCTCCACTGGTATTTGTCTTCCCTGCTAAAGGTAAGAACATGCAAATAGTGGGTAGAGGGGTGTGGCATACATACCTCAGCAGCATCTGACAGGCTTTGCATGAAGTGGTCTCCTCAAAGGAGTACATTTGGAATTCATGTCTATTTGCTGTAGCATTTTCGGGATAGATATTGGAACTATACCGGGAAGTGAGAAATAGGCAGATTGTTACAAAGTCGGGGAAAGTTCCACCTGCTCAGAAATTTGTCTTACAAAAGGCAAAACTGAAGCTGCTAAAATGGATTAATGGTTTCATCCCCTTAGAATAAATTTACTTTTTCCTTTCTTTCTCAATAGTTTCTTCAAATAGAAAGTTCCTCTAACCACTTGTGTGTTTTCTGCAGAAATGTGCATTTACAATTAGAGCTGAGATACCCCACATTGTTTTTACATTATCATCCTCTGAGAAAGTTAAGATCTCTAGTTTGTGAGGAACTAAGTGAGCATGGAATAGACTATTGAATTCATGGATCTGAAAAGTCTTGGGATGTTCTTCTAGTTTTTGTTACTATGTGCAACAAGAGGATGAAAACAGAGGCAGTTTCCAAAATTCTCTATCTATCTATCTATCTATCTGGGCAATTTCCAAAATTCTCATCCGTCCGTCCGTCCGTCCGTCCGTCTGTCTGTCTATCTATCTATCTATCTATCTATCTATCTATCTATCTATCTATCTATCTATCTATCTATCTATCTATCTATCTATCTATCTATCTATCTATCTATCTATCTATCTATCTATCTATCTATCTATCTATCTATCTATCTATCTATCTATCTATCTATCTATCTATCTATCTATCTATCTATCTATCTATCTATCTATCTATCTATCTATCTATCTATCTGTCTGTCTGTCTGTCTGTCTGTACCCCACCTTTAAAAGGACCCAATGCAGCTTACATAACTAAAAGGCAATATGTAAACATTGAGTATACAAATACTAAAAAAAAAATCAAACAAATACTATACTAAAAAACGTAAGCAACACCAAAACATGTTCAAAGCAGTAAGATACATCAATCGACAAATCAGTGGGAGGGAGTTCCAAAGTCTGGGAGTAACCACAGAGAAAACATCTTCCTTTATTCTGGCCAAACACACCTGTGAAGGTGGAGGGATCGAGACAAAGGCCTCTCCTGATGATCTTATCACTCAAGTACGCTCATAAAGGGAGATGTGGTCCATGAGACAGGTTAGGCTCAAGCTGTTTAGGGCTTTATAGGTTAGAAACAGCACTTTGGATTCTGCCTGGAAGCAGATCGGCAGCCAGTGGAGCTGCTGTAACGGGGGGGGGGTGTTATGTGAACCCTGTAACCACCCTTTGTTAACAATCTGGCTCCTGTGTTCTGGACTATCTTTTCTCCATCCCTGAAAAAAACTCTCAGAATGACATTACATCAAGATACATGTCTGTTCCCAGTGACATTCAGACCCCAGGCTCAGGGAAAAAAGACATTCCTTTCAGTGAGATTGAATTTTCCAGCACATCTTCCCACTCCTCAATAACTATGTCAATCTTTTGGATGCATCATCACCCAAGACCTGTGAAACCAAAACATTGGGCCAAAACTTTTGATTTCCATGGGCCAGGACTTTGACATAGCTATAATTGTAATGTCTTTTCTACACAGAGATTGCTTTCCATCGTATAAGAAACTTTGGAGTAATGAATAACAGCATTTACAATAAAATCTATAATAGATCACTTAATAAATGACAAGCGAGAGGAGCAGAAGGGACTTACAGGGCCATTTCAAACTGTTCCATCCACTTCTTTTTCAGCTCCCGTGTCTTGAAGTACAGTTCACAGCCTGAACAGCCATTTAGCTGAATTAGGACAAACATGTGAGACCACTAGAAAAAAATAGGGACAACCAGTTAGAATAAAATTTCATTTGGTCTAGATCCCCTTTTACAGTCACATTTGAGAAAAGAGTGATACCAGATGAAGTAGAGACATGGAGGCTCTGTTGATTTAAAGTAAAGGCCTCCCGCTGCCAACCCTGGATGCCAAAAAACACAAAATATTGAACGTTGTTCACTGCATGGTTTCTGTCTCCCACAAATGGCCAGTTCTGGACATACATATAAAGATATATTTCTTTTACAAATTAAAAAAAATTGTATTTTCGGGCAGCGGATAAGCGAATCAGCGGATACTGATCCCACGGATGGAGAGGTCCTACTGTAGAGCTTCGTTTTGAATTTTCTGTGGAAGACTCCATGTCTCACGTTCACTTCTCATCCCTTCCTTCCTAAACACACCCAAGTATTACCTTCTTGTTGTCCTTCTCTGCAGAAGGGTCATCTCGGACCTGGTAGTCGGACAGAAGAACCAATGTCTTCATCTCATATGAATCTCCTTTCCGTTTGCAGATTAGGAGGGCTTTATCCAGGAGGAAAGCGTACCTATGAGAGACCTTTAATTTGAGACATTCCAGCAAAGCTGTGACATAAGAAACAGACCTTTTATATAAATGGCCTCCACAATGAAGTAGGGTAGAGAATGTCTTCAGAAACAGCAGAAGCCACTGCCAAGGTACCTCAAGGCTGAATGTAACCACCAAACTATTTTGAGTTATTTGGGCGGTTTGGGGGATAGTTCTGGATGGTCACTTATTCACTGCTATAGTTCTCTATGCATATTCCAACATTTCAGGGTCCACAATCTTCAAATGTAATGAGTTGTGTTTGGCATGTTTTAACTACCGGTTAATTGGAAGCAAGATTTAAATCTCTATGTGCCACAGCCAGAACTATTCCTCACATGTAGAGAGAATAACAGAAATCAAATTGTCTGATTCCCAAATTAGAGAATTTGGAAGCATGGGGAGCAGACGAATGCTGGACAATAACTCTATTAGGTGTTTTTCAATGTAATCAAAGACATATTAACGATTACTAAACATCACATGGAAGTTTCACAATTTTGTTTTTGGTTCAAATATATACACACCAGTGTAGAGAATATTGTTTCAGCAAGACTAGATCTGTAAAATTCATTCATAATATATATATTATTTGTTCGTTATTTTCTTTGAATTATATGTAATGCATATGTAAAATATGTAAAACCAAAAGCAACCTGAAGAAGAAGGTGAGCAATCAGTGGGGGGTTGGAGCGTTAAAGACCTGGCCCTTCCGCCAGGCTTTCCCTGAGAATTAAGTTTTTGAGATTTCTTTCTCCCTTTTACCATCCTTTTTGCCATCCTTTTCATCATCCTTTTTACCACCTTCGTTGCCATCTGCTTTAATTTATCCTGCTGTTATTATATTTCTTTGAATGAATGTGTTATTTTTTTAATCATGTTTTGATATTGTGCTTTTTCTTGTTCTTAGCCACCCAGAGAGGCCTGGTTGCCAGATGGTTCAGCGTATAAATTCAATAAATAAATAAATTCAATAAATAAATAAATGGAGGTGGAATTGCTTAGCCTTTCACTATAACTTTTTTTTACTCAAAACCTCTCTCTGAACCTGCTTTGCTACCTATCAAGGGAAAATACAAGTACCCAGGGTAGAGGATTAAGCTGCCTCTCCTGTCTTCCATGGTTATTACTTCCTAAGGTTGTATTTGATTTCAAAAATGTTGGGAGAAAGGTGACATTCTTATGTTCCATGTCTTGTAGGGGCTTCAAACACACATTAGTTTATACTTCAAAGTGCTTATCTGATGCTTTCCTTACTTCTTTTTTTTTCACATTGATTTTTTCATCCCCTGCTCTTTAATTCTGTGTGCACATAAGAATTATACAAACAACAACTGTGTGGCAGTCTTGGGTTGCTTTAGCACCAGAGTCATTCAGCACAGCAAAGTGGCTGCTTTTCTGAGCCACTTCATTTGAATTAATTGCATGTGGTTGAGCTGCCTCTGAGTTACGTTGAATCTTTCCACGGTTTCCTTTTCTGAAGGGGTTTAACCCTTCCTTTCTTCTGGGGACACTCTGGGACCGTGCACCTGGCCCAAGGCTACACAGGCTGGTTTTTCTCCCAGATACACTATTTTCTTGCAGTTAACTAAAAGTGCCACCACAATGTGGTGTAGTAAATAGAGTGACAAACGAGGACTTAAGAGACCTGAACTTCCACTCAGCCATGGACACTCACTAATGTGTGCGTGTATGTGAGACTCGTACGTTTTAAATAATTCACTTAGCTTGAAAGGCCTATTATGGTCATCTTCACCTGTCTATTTTGGAGCGCTTATCCCCCGTGATGATCTTGAGCTCCCCATCAATCTTCGGTCTCCCATACTGAGCCAGGGATTGTGTCTACAGAGAAGGGAAACCACAACAGGTCAAATGCTTGCGCATAAAGGGCTGGAATTTCCAAATGCCGAAGACTGTGTGAGAGATTTGGGTCAAACTATGATTTATGAATGAATTACATAATGCTTTTCCTTCAAAAAGTTCGTTTTCAAAAAGTAACTGTAGGGATCCATGTTTGAATCAGACCATGATACTTGTGGAGGAGGATTATTACCATTATGCTTTCCCAAAAGAATTATGTCTACTGTGATGTATAATATTACTACTATAATATTTGCTCTGTTAGCAAAAGTATACTTATTTGCTCTCTCTAGAGGCATTCACTATATAAGAACATGAATGCATTTATCCAATAAAAAGAATGAATCATGGCCCAGACTGAGTAGCAGAGCCTGTAAACATTACTATTTTTGTCTAGATAATGCAGACTATCCAATAGATCATGGCCACAGGCTACTATAAGATTTTTGATACAAATAAATAAGTTTACACTCTCTGTAAAGGAGTAAAATGTCCACTGGTTTAGTGGAGCAAGTGTGTCACGAATGAAGAGAGGAATAAATTGAAGGTGCAGTTTTAGAAGAGGTACCGGTAGCTATGTTTGTTTGTGTGAGTATATCAGGCCAAAGACAAAAGAAAAAAATGAAACAAAGAGGAAGACAAAAACATTGTGGCACTTTAAAGACTAAGTGCTATATTTTAATTTAAGCATTCATTGACAAGCTCACATAAACAGAAGGTGATAATTGCAGAGTCCACAAAAGCAAGACAGAAGTGGACAACCAGTTGGAGCAAGCCACACGATCAACAGACCAGATGACACGTAGAAGGGTCAAGAGAGAGAGAGAGAGAGAGAGACCCTTGGGAGAGGGGATTGTGGGCCGTGTTGAAAAATAGAAAGTGATGATCTGCAGGAAGAATTCTGTAGAGGGAAGGTCAGAGTCACAACAATTACTGAGTGAAAAATTCCTTCCGATAACCTGCTTGAGTCAGGTTATGGGAAGGAAATGACACCAAGTGGCCAAACACATCCCCTAAAGGCCACTGCTGTTATTTATAGCTAGCTCTATCTACCTATTTACCTAGCTAGACACACACACACACACACACACACAGAGAGAGAGAGAGAGAGAGAGAATAGCAGTGGCCTTCAGGGATGTATTTGGCCACCTGGTGCCATTTCCTTCCCATAACCTGACTCAGGCATTTCCCTCAAAACTGAAAGTGACTAGGCAGTCACTTTCACTGTTGAATCTTCCACCCTATGTCAACAAGAAGCTCCCTCCGTGGCTAACAAGAGCAAGGACAGGAAAGGCACCAATCATTTAAAAAGTGCACAAACATTTCAACATGCGGGCAAACTAAGGGCATGGAGCAGCAGATTTATATTTTGGCTCTATTTGCCGAGACAGCAGCTCCTACTTAAGAAATGGAACTGATGTGCCAACTGACTAGCTGCTTGGCAGGGAGTTGGGTAGCTGAAATATAGAGCTAGTGTGATTAAACTGAGCAAATATGAATAATATGGCCTTTAAAATAATTTTCATCACAGGACTGTTTAGGCAAGAGACCTGTGGTGAACCTTGTTCCTTCTGCAGATGGCTGATTTCCCCTTATATATATGACAAAATTCTGACCCACCACATTTCTATTTGTGAGCAATGGGGCTTAGATAATTTTCTTCCTTGAAGTAAATGATTTGTAACTATCAGGATTCAACAAGACCACAGGATAACATGGCCTCCAAGTTCTGTCAGCACTGATGTTGAAAATGTTAAGAAATGAAATAAATGTGCAGCCAGAAAGAAATAAAATGAGTGAGATACAGGGCCTGAAATAAAGTTTAATGGTGAGAATAGACTGGGAGGCTGTCCTGAGTTGATTTGGTTTGATGTGAACTTTCTTACTGGCATTTAAATCACTGCTGTTATTCACACAGAATGTTTAATTATCTTGGGTAACTTTCAGGGCAAAAATCCACACTGCATGCCAAACCAATATAATTTGTTCTCCCCACTTATCTCTGTAATTAATACTACTCTCTCTCCCCCTCCCCAATTTAAAAATGTTGGCAAGTGACATAGCTCTGGCTTGATATAAAAACTTGTCAAATTGCAGTGCTTATCTGACATAGTGTTCAACTTGAAAAGTTGGCTGGAGGGGAGACAGGAAGCACTCACTTGAGGAGATGTTCCTGCTCTACTGGCATACTTTCAATGGAGTGTGTTTTGCCTGTACACTGTCATTTGTCAATTTTTTAAAAAGATGCCTCATCATCAATTTTACCCAAACCACACCCACTACTGCCCCTCTGGACCAATACAGGCAATAATATATCCCTGAAATTTTTTAAAAATGGAGGTGAGCAGAAATATTACCAAATCAACAACAAGAACAGAAAATGCAACAAAACAAGCCCCTGCTAGTCAAACCAACCAACCAACCAACCAACCAACCAACCAACCAACCAACCAACCAACCAACCAACCAACCAACCAACCAACCAACCAACCAACCAACCAACCAACCAACCAACCAACCAACCAACCAACCAACCAACCAACCAACCAACCAACCAACCAACCAACCAACCAACCAACCAACCAACCAACCAACCAACCAACCAACCAACCAACCAACCAACCAACCAACCAACCAACCAACCAACCAACCAACCAACCAACCAACCAACCAACCAACCAACCAACCAACCAACCAACCAACCAACCAACCAACCAACCAACCAACCAACCAACCAACCAACCAACCAACCAACCAACCAACCAACCAACCAACCAACCAACCAACCAACCAACCAACCAACCAACCAACCAACCAACCAACCAACCAACCAACCAACCAACCAACCAACCAACCAACCAACCAACCAACCAACCAACCAACCAACCAACCAACCAACCAACCAACCAACCAACCAACCAACCAACCAACCAACCAACCAACCAACCAACCAACCAACCAACCAACCAACCAACCAACCAAACCAACCCAAACCAACCCAAACCAACCCAAACCAACCCAAACCAACCAACCAACCAACCAACCAACCAACCAACCAACCAAAGACCTATTTTATTCACAATAACCTGCATGTCTTGTAGTCAATGCAAAATACACATGCTACCTCTGGGACAAACCATAAGGTGAACTGCACTACAGGGTATCCTAAGGAGAAACCAGAGTGCCATATAGAACAGCAATACAGAGATGAGAGGAGAGTTTCATAGAATGAATATCAAAGATAGATGGCTAGTGTCATGCAACTAGTATGGCTTGAATTGGAAGTGCATAGAAAAAAAAACAGCAGCTGCCACCATAATCTTTGAGAAGTCTTGTGAGAAGAGGCTTCCCCCAAAAAAGGCAATGACACCAATATTGGTTGAAGGTAGGTTTTGACAATGTTTTCAGGAATTTACTTCTGCCATTTGGAAGACTTTCTCAGCAATGTGTTTCCCCCCCCCCCATCCGCTCTGTCTATGTACAGGATGCAGTGACTGTTCTGTTAAGTGTTACAGCAGCACACCTCTCGCCCACCTTCACTGTAAGGATTGCTCTGTAATTATATCAGATATGTTTGGTCCCTATGTTCATCAGATTCCCTTGGAGCAACACTCACCAAATTTTCTATCGAGAGCTGGAAATTAGTGATTTGTTTCAGTGTTTCATTGTCCCTTTTGACCTCATTCACACATTGAGCCAAGTCCTAGGACAGGAGGAGGGGAAAAAAAGAAGTTATGCATTCCATAAAAGAACATGGATTACTTGTCAACTAACAAAGCAATAAGCTTAACAATAATGAGAATTACAACAAATAAAAACCAACAACAAAAATAACAGCCAGATAAATGTATTGCTTGGGTTCATGCACTAAAGCCCATTTCCCTCTTGGATGCACACCAGAACATGATAAGAGGATTTGAATGTGTCAGGGAAGCTGAGAGCAAAGTTACCAGGATACCAGCTTGCATTATGAGTCTGTACTCCGAGCAGAATCACTCAAATGGTCAGAGCTGAGCTATAAGGCAAGGATTCATCTAATCTCTTCAGGATGAATGGTCACATCAGCAGAAGAGAATGGAAATTCCCAAGGGCAGCTATTGTGCAGTAGCAGTAGTGGAAGGTGACACTGGCATGCAAATGTTTCACAAACAAAGGCAATGACACCTGTCACTGTAAGTAAACCACTTTGAAAACCCTTTGATGAAAAACCCAGAAAGCAGCAATACTTGGAAAAGCTACTGACTGATTGATTAATAATTAATTAATTAATTAATTAATTAGATTTATACCCCACTCATCTAGATTGAAGACTACTCACTGATTAAGGTGAAAGGAGAAAGTGCAAAGGCAAGCCTGCAGCTGAATATAAAGAAAACAAAAATCATGTCTGCAGAAGAATTGCTTAATAGCAATGGGGACAACGACAAAATTGAACGTGTTGAAGACTTTGTATATGTTGGTTCAGTCATAAATAAAAATGCAGCCAAGAAATCAGAAGAAAATTGATACTCAGAAGGACAGCTATGAAGGAACCAGAAAATATACTCAAGGGTAAGGAAGTGAGACCATGATAAAGGAATCCGTACTATGGCTTACCCAATGTACAGATATGAAAGCTAGACAGTGAAGAAAGCCAGTAAGAAAAAAAATGATATATCTGAAATGTGGACAGATTTACAGACACCAGGGGAAAAAAACAAATAAGTGAGTGCTAGATTATATCAAGCTTGAGCTTCCCTTAGAAATAAAATTGACTACACTGAGGCTACCATGCTTTGGGTGTGTTAGGAGAAGAAAATGATAACTGTTTAACAACAACAACAACCTTTATTGGCATAAAGAAAATGATAACTGTGCTGGGGGGAAATTGAAGTAACAAGAAAAGATAAAAGTCAAACATGAGATGATTTGACTTGATGTCATAGCTTTGAGTTTGCAAGAGCTGAACAACAGGACCACCTAGAGATCACCAATTCATTGGCTGCCATAAGTTGGAAGTGACTTGATGCACATAATTACTAGAGTCCATATATAGACTGCTACGAATTACCACCATCTAAACTGTTTGTTGTTTCATTAGCAACAGGGTTATTCATATTTATTTTTACTTTTGAACACCTTCAGACCTATAGGTTTCATCTTCCAGCATTATCTCCTCTTTTGTTTCACATTGTTTCATCAAAGGGTTTTCAAGGTATGAAACATTCAGAAGTGGTTTGCCATTGCTTTCTTCTGTGTAGTACTAACAAGAGTGTCACTGCCGTTGTCTGTAAAACATCTTCTGTCTGTGAAGAAATGTGCCAGCCCCAGACTGGCTCTGCTATAAAATTATCTGGAGTGAGTATCGGAAATTACCAAGCAAGAGCTCACCATTTGCCATATCAAAGGAAGTGCAGCCTGTTTGCCAGATGCCCATTTCCTCTGAAGTGTAAAAACACTAAGCTAGTGGAGGTCCATTTCATGTTGACCTACCTCCCCCTTAAGAGATGTGTCCCCCTCTGAAGCTTCCCTCTTCCTTCTCTCTCTCTCCTACTCACTTACACACTGACTTACGTAAGTCCCCTTCCTCTGTCTTAAGGACTTGTCCCTTTCAAAGGACATGTATTCTACGAGAATCTGGCAACACTCAAAGAACAAAGAATCTTTTGAAGTGTCTTAGAGTGTGGTGCCTTTGGGCTATTGCCCTGAAGGTGTGAAACAAACTGGCAATACATGGAGCCTCCAGCCACCCCACCTGTTTTTCTTACTCCAGGACCCTGTCTCACTCTAAAACATTTTTCAGAAAAATGAAAATTCATACACCTGGAAGTTTCAAGGAAGCATGATTTACTTTAAATAACATCATTCATACCCCTTACCATTTTTAAGTGAAAAAAAAGAGGGGCGACTCAAACCCTTGTCACTTCTGGTTACATCAGGAAAGGTGGTACATCCCATGAAAAGTAGTGGGGTTCAAAATTGTTCCCCAGACTCTCTAAAATTGCTCATCCCTTCTCTTTTTCAAATTTAACACTGAATTCCAAAGGGTGAAAAAAACCACTTCTTTTTGGTCATATTCAGCCACTCTGCTTAGCCCAAGAGATGTGTCTTACCCGCATGGCGTCTAGCGACTGTCTCAGGTTCTCCTTTTCAGCGGGATCCACAGTATATTTGATCAGCTCCTGGAAGGAGAAAAAAAAAGCAGAGGAACCTAGCAGACATCCACATACTGTATAAAGAATATAAGATGAACTAAGGACATCCTTCTTTGAGTGCTTCCGGCATAACCTCCAACATTGGAAACTAGTAGTACTGGTTTTCTGTCAGCAGGAATCGTTGATTCCAGCGCAGAATTTTGAATATACCACCGCAAAGAAATTGACAAAGGCAGGAACTACATGTTTCAGATAATCTGGAGTAAGCTTTTTACTGCAGGTTATCTGCAAACAGGTGCAAAACGGCTTGTTTTACACATCTTGTTGTAGTATGATTCCTCACATTAAAGCAGAGCATGGAGCAGACACCACCCACCAGCCATACAATGGTGTAGCTACAGTCACATTGTAGGATGTTCAGCACCTCAGTAGAAGAAGTATCCTAGGCAGATGTCACAGAGATTGGGAACCCTCAGTCTAAGCAAAATTACCAGGGTTTTTAATCCCAGTTTCTCTTGCACCCTTTTTTTAGTTACTATCCCCACACACCTTGTTGATTTAGAAACAGGGAGAACAGAGGACTGGTTCAGTCTACTAGCTTAAATGTGGTAGGGATTTCTCTAGTAAACATCTGGTTAAAATTAATTACACAACAGAGGATTACATTGTATGTTCACAGAGCAACATTTATCCTTCCTCCTTCTGTGGTATACATGCCGTAATCTGACAGATGGATGTTACCTGTAGAAGGAGATGATATTTCAGTACCCTTTGCATGGGTACCATGAGGAGGTCACGTAAGCTGAAGCGGCCATTATTGGCTCGTTGAGAACATTCCTAAAATGCAAAAATTGGGCATGGGTGGGGGAGTAGAGCTTTTATTATGACTGAAAAGCAAGGACACAAAATAATGTAGTTCTTTTTTGTTGTTCATTTGTTAATGAATGGTGTGCTCCAGTAGCCAGCAGATATTCACAATAAGATCTCGAGTGACTTTTCCAGTGGGCCATTGCTTTGTTTTCCATAATTGTCAACATTTTCTTGTTAGTATTTTGACTTGTGTAATTACACTTAATGCTGCCATAAATCCGTAACAGGATTTTGGTTAGTATGTTTGCTTTCAGCTGAAATAAATGGGTATAAACTTACTATGTGTACAGCAGTCAGCTGAACATATTTTATTATGCCTGCAGTTTTAAGCTGGGATGATTTACAGTGCTAAATTTTAATACCATTTCACTGCACAGTTATGACATGTATGAGGTGGTTTACAGTGAAGAGAGCTTTGGTTTATTAAAAACTCCTGAAGTTTATATCATTGTAGCAATGAAACAAGATAATACTTAGAACAAGTTCTGCTACTCAGTACTATAGAAAAGAAAGTTTATCACTGGTCAATGTACGGTGTGAGTCCAATATGTTGTGTAACAGAGAATAGCAGTCCTCACCTCCAGTTTCATGCGTACATCCACGCTGGTGTTAGCTACCTGGTCTAGGTATTTAGTGGCTGCTTCTACCTGACTGCAGTATCGACCATACAGCAAAAACCTAAAGATGAAGAGTAATTCAGTGGTATAAAGGAAGATCCAAACAGCTGTAGAAAAAAATTGGGTTTGAATTCTGTAATGGCAGTGAGTTGGACACCACATGCACTGTAGAGCAATGCATAGTTTTGGTCTTGGATGAAAAGTCCAGATCTGCATTTTAAGCAAGACTTAAACATAATTTCAAGGGGAACTACCCTGGTAGGACTTATAATTAGCAGGCTGCTTTTTTCAGCATATGTGGATGCATTTTCCTTTTCATTGGGACAAATCATAAGCAACATACAAATATTCATGATTCAGGCAAAAAGCTTAGACGCCACAAAACATACACATTGAAAAGGATGTTGGGCACATAGAGACCGCAATGTCATGGCTGTATTAAACCCCAGCACAGAATGAAGCACGAAGAATTTAGAACCATATGAAAGCCATGCTACAGGTTCCAAGGAACTATGAAGGTCAGTACATATATTCCAGCATATCAGCTACAACATTCATCTACTCACTGTGGAATAAACACAAACAGTACACTTTATGCATGCAAGTCTCCACATTATTTTTCCTATACACAGACTGAAAAAGCATACATGTTGCAATGGAGGCAGAATAGTATGTAAAACTTGCAATGTAAGAAATAACAAAGTCATTGTCACAATCACCATCGTTGTGGTCAACCTACATGAAATATGAACCTGGGACACATACGCCTTGGCCCACGGCTTACATGAAAACAGTTCTGGGTATCTTGAACCTTTTAAGTGATAGGCTAAGAAGACCATTCAAATGATGACATGGGATGAGAGAGAACAATTAGCTACAGGAAGCTAAATAAATCTGGAAAAAGTAGCACCTCTTCCACTTGCATTTGGATCTGAAGAAGCCATTCCTAAGAAGCATAGTTAGACTTCGTTGGGAAAAGATTGGCCTATAATTCACAACATCCTGTACAGGAAGGTATCTGGAAGCTGTTCTGTCAGTGAGATCACCGTAGTGTTAGGTGCAATTAGAACAGGGACTCTTACCTCTCTTTGTACCTGATGAACACCTGGTAGAGGTTCTGGGCATTGCTGAAAGACAAACCACTCTTCAGATCTGCCAGAAAGCATTGGTGAACCTTTAAAAGTTCCTAGTGGAGTAAAAATAATAATAATAATGTAAGAACTGAAGGAGAACCACAGCCATACCCATACCCATGGCTGTACCCAAGAGTTTTCAGAGAGGATCCCTGCAGACAGCATGGAAAGCCTGGAAGACTTGGAAGACCAGTAGTTCCCACAACAAATGCAAAGGAAAAGAGGAACAATATCTTTGGATTTTTGTTGGGATTAGAACCCAATGATGGCCCTTAAAGCCTCTGGCTAGAATTAGGATTTGGGCTAGGTTTCTGGATTTACACATATTTTGAAACATCATTTGTCTTCTCTTCTATGAATGACCCCCTTTCCCATAACTTCTCTCATTGGCCAAGGAGAAAGCCTTTGGGAGGGTCCTGCAAGATGCAAAGAAAACTCTTTTGACATATCCTCTAGGGTTCAAATAGCTAGCAGTCAGCAGGAAATCAGTTAGTTCATTCCTGGTACTGACACGTTGAGGATGGCTGATTCACTCTCTCTGTGTTTACCCTGTGGAGCTTTCTGTGGATACAACTTTGAACATCTAATTTTTTAAAAAAAGACCCTGCTTTCACAGCATTCTAATACTGGTTAAAGCTTTCTTTGAAATTAAAACTCATTTTTACGAGAATTGTTACTAGCACTGTAACCTGGCATGTTTACATCACTAAATGTGACATCAAGAGAAGTGCGGAGGAGACAAGAGAAGACACCTCATGCATGCGAAAATAGGAAGAGAAAGCTGAACCAGCAGGGAAGAATCCGGAATCACTCCAACTCATATCGAATGCCAGTAAGACTACTTTCATAGCTATGGTTTTCAGGAATGAGGATCAAGCAACAACATTTTTGCCTGAAAAAAACAGCAGCAGCATAAAAAGGAAGTCTGGGTCACAAATGAAGCACAGTATGCTCACTGAGCAGGGAGGAGATCATTGCTGTCAAATGAACAGTGTTTTTCATGGGCCTATGAGGATACATTTGAATGTGTTTGCATAACATATACTTTTTATACAGTGACTGAAATCCTGTTTGTAACATAAGCCAAATTGTAACTTTCAATCCATTCCTCCCTAGTATACAAAGCACCCCACCATCATTCTCAGGAGAGGGAGACTGAAAGTTATGGCTTGGTATTTCCTTGGGTAGCCAAGGACAAGGTGGGAGTTGGAGAGAGGGAGAGAGGGAGGGGGGGGAGAGAGAGCGAGAGAGCGAAAGAAAGAAAGAAACCTTTAAAATATTTTAGTACCTCAGAGGGCAACAATTTTATTTCAGTGTGAGCTTTAATGGTCTGTACAGCTCATACTGAAATAACATTGTGGTGAAATCCTGTTGTTTTATTACATGTGCAGAAGGCAAAGACTATAACTTTCAGTGCTTCTAGCTGATAATTAACAAGTTCCTGCTGACATAATTTTGTTAGGTTTCCCTGTAGCTTCAAATAGCTCCACCAGTATCCACTGGTGACTTATTTTTTCCAATTCCTTTGATAGCAGCTTTCACTTCACTCTCTAAAATGTCGTGTTCTTAAAAATATTCTTCTCAAGAAATCAGCCATCTTTGCTTCTTTTCAGTAAAGTTCTTCAGGATATTGTTCATCCTCTGTTTGTTTCATGTTGATCAGATAACATGTTCCCTGTTACCAGTATAGGTTTAAATTTTGACTTATTGGATGTTAGTGAAGAGATCACTTGCTTCTTCTTTTATTTCATTATTGTTGTTCTGTTTCTTTTTATTGATTATTACTATAATTCCTTCTTTGCCTACATTCAAGTCACTAGGGCTGCTGTAGAAGCAGACTTCCAAAATCCCTGCTTCCCAAAGCTTTGTAGAGTTTTCAGTTCCTTGAAAACTCTACAAAGAGGACTCTGCTAAATGTGGCAGGCTGTAGTGTACAAGCGGGGAAGAAAGAGATCCTGAAATATTAGACAGTCACATTGTGCAAGGAGACACAGAACTCTTTGCACTTTGCTTACATAGTGTTTATTTATCTCTTTGACAACAGACAAAAGCAATGCGGTAAGCTGATTATATCAAAGTCTGTAGATGTAGGACATCTTAAACCAATGTAGCTGAGCAAAATAGAATATCTTACCTCAATGTTAATAAAAATGTTTTCCAGGTCCTGGGGTGGCAAAAACAACTGCAGAGGTTTCAAGAAATGCTGGAAAGAGCACAAAAACAGTTGAAGATATCTTACAAGTATTCAAGGCAAATAAATATACACTGGGCTAGCAAGTGATAAATCAGAACGCGAAAAAGTTTCTATTATGGACTGTAATCCCTAGAATTCTGCTTGCCAGCATTGTCAATAACTTTTTTAAAAAGTTATTGATTTTATGGAGTTGCCCTAAAAATGAAAAGTTCTTTTAAAATGTGTCTAAGAGAAAACTGAAAGTACAATAGGAAAAGTGCTGTGAAGATGGTTTATATTACAAAAACAAAGCACCTCACTTGTTGTTGTACAAATGTTTCTGGGATTAATCCTTTACTGGGATAACGTCAGCTATGACAAATCATAGGCTTCTATTTTTTGCCTGGGAGGTCTATAATTTTTTGTAGGGTTCCTGGGGGAGTCGGGTATCCTTATCAGGATCTGACAAGCAAGGCCAGCCGAGAGGGGAGTGCCCTGGGAGTTGCAAGTGACACTAATGTCAAAGAGAAACTTTGAAGACCCAGGAAAAAGAGAACATTTTCATGCATTCTGCAATCCCGCAGGTATCTCTCCCTACCCCAGAAAGAAAACTGGGATGTGCATGTGGAAAATAAGGTGAGGGCATGTTCTACCCTTAAAACCTTTCATTTCCCAAATCTGGAGTAAAAAGACTACTAGCCAGAGGTCAGGAGCAGTTCCCAAACACCTCTCCCCCCACCATATTGTCCATAAGAGTTGATGTCGTAATAATAATAATCTCATTAGGGCACATCTCTGTCTGGGTTTGGCATGTAGATCCCATATGGCTGATCTTTGCTAGCCACCTACTGTAGCATTCACCCTTTGTTAGGTATAAGTCATGTATTATTATGTCTATGCAAATGTGGTGGAGAGGCAGAGCTGAGAGAGAGGTTAAAAGGTGGAGCCTGAGAGGAGGAATTAGTCAGTCAAGAGTCAGTCAAGAGTGAGTTGGTGAGAGAGAGTTAGTCAGAGGCAGAGGCAGAAGAGATATCAATAGAGCTAACCTGGTTAAGATAAATAGATAGAGAAGGTGGTAATTAATCTGGGGGGACTAAGATAGGGAATGACTCTGAAGGGAAAATTCCTTTTGAGGTTATCTCAGGATTTGAACAGACCCAGTGGGCTAACTTAAAATCCAAGGCTCTGAGAGTTAAGAGAGTGCTTATGTATAAAAAGCAGAAGCCAGGGTCAGAACAGGTCTGAGGTGAAAGGAACTTTAAAAGCAGAGGCTTGAAAACAGAATTTGTTTTGTGTATGGAGGCAAGAAGGTTGTCTTAGAACAAGAAACATTGTGGCTGGCGTGGTGCCAGAAAAAGTGTAGCCATCTTTAGCTGCCAAGTGAGAAGTACAGAGTACCCAAGAAAAATACTGGGAAAGAGGACAACAGCAGTAAAATAGTGTTTTTAAAAAGAGGACTAACTCTGCAATAGGAACCAGCTCTTATCAATAAAAGTACATACTCATGCCACCCAAAAGAACTAAAAAGCCAGTAATGGAGGTAATTGAGCCTCAAGAGGCACAAAGTTTACCTCAGGAAATGGAGGGAAATGGAGTTCCACTAGCTATGGAACAGGAGGAGACTCACGAGGGTGCCTCAGGGAGAGAAGGTGTTCTAAGCTCCCCAGATTTTGAAAAATGGAAATTACAACAAGAATTTAAATTGAAGGAGCTAGCTATGAAAACCCAATTAGAATTGGAAAAATAAAGGGCTAGGGAAAAAGCCATAGCTGAAGAGAAAGCTCAGGAACTACAGCTCAGAGAATTAGAAATTAAGGAGAGGGGGGGGGCTGAGGTGAGACAAATGGAATTTCAAATACATTTCATTTGAGAGCGCATGCTGGGACTTTAATACGAAGGATTTAGGTTTTATTATTATGTATGTTATTGTATTGTATTTCATTGTATTGTATTTTATCATTCATGTAAGCCGCTCTGAGTAGAATTTGTCTAGAGGGGCGGGGTATAAGTCCAAATAAAGTAAAGTAATGTAAAGAAGGATGGTGGTTTTGAGATCCCAAATAAGTGGAGATTTAGCTGAGCTGCATTCACAGATGCCTCTAGAGCAGGCTAGAGATTTTGAAGCCTATAGAAAAAAGGTATTTTCTAGATTTGGTATCAATGCAGAACACCTGAGGCGAAAATTTCGTTTCCTGACCAAAAAGCCTGAGGAATCCTATTCTCAGATAGGGGCTAAACTGCTGCAATGTTTGGAGAAATGGATGGAACGTGCAAATGTTACTTCTCTTGAGCAGATGAAAAATGTGATTGGGTTGGAACAATTTTATTCTATCTTGCCTGGGGAATTGTGTTATTTAGTTAAGGACAAAAATCCTAAAAATCTATTAGAAGCAGGTGAAACAGCTGCTTACATTGGGGATATTAGAAACCACAAGTTCTCTGAGGTAAAATTTAACAAGCATAACTGGGACAACAATAAGAAACCATTTAATAAAAACTTCCTCAGCAAAACAACAGGGAAAGAAGGCCAGAGTGGTGCCTCATCTAAATTACTGTAGCACAGCCTAGTCCTCAGACCCAAATGAACCCTGAGGAAAAGTTAAAGTTGAACAGATCTCCTCAGAATGAGAGAAGGTCTTACAAATGTTAGAACTGCGGAGAGTTCAGTCACTTACAATTCAATTGTATGAAGAACAAAAATAAGAGTCAAAATGGGAAAGATGGCCAGACCAAAAAAATGTACTGTTTAAAATCAGTTGAAGCCACTGAGGGAGGCTGTAACAATGGTAGTTCTGTCTCCATGGCAACTGGCACAACAGAAAATTCTGATCTGCCACTAGCCCAGGTCATTCATTGTTTTCTAGTAAAGGCAGAATATATTTTAATACATAACCCTGGTGAGAGGATTCTTATGAATGAAAAGTCTTATGTTGGAGTGGTTGATATTTGTTTTAACATAACTCCGTGTCATGCTGATGTGATTCCTAAAGAACAAATTCTCCCAAACCAGACTGTTATCATCAAGGGAATAAGTTCTACTCCAGTGATTTTTTTACCCATGGCTAAAGTGAAAATAAACTATAGAGATTGGATTGGAAACTGGGACGTGGCAATCTCTGATCAGATTCCAGCACCTTGTGCAGAGTGCTTTTGAAGTAACAGGTTTCCTGAGAGAACAGTTAACAATCCCTGAGGGAAAAATGGAATCCCAAACCTCTGAATTAATCCAGGGATGCCCCAAGTTAGAAAAGAACCATGAGGTAACCAAAATGGCTGATGAGATTATTTTGAAAACCCCTAATGATCCTTTCTGTATTGAGGAACAGATGGAAGATAGTACTTTGAATGATTGTACTACAAAAATTAGAGAGAATCCCATTCCACTGACTCGTGATACCCAGAGAGGTCTATGACTGATAAAAACCTGACAGATAGAGTGGGTTTACATTTGATAGAGCATGTTAAGAGTGCTTACTTTGCACACTCACAAGGAGGCCAGGAATCACCCAGTGCAGCAGAAATGGATACAGTAGCAAAGGGAAACCTGGAGGGAAAAAGTTTCTTTGGAAGTCAGCCTAATTATCGTCCAGAAGCTGATCTTATGCTTCTAAAGAATCCAAATAAAAACAGTTTGGCTCAGGAGCAGAAGGAGGAAATTAGTTTGGTAGGTTGCTTTGAACCAGCGACCAGTACACCCACTTTATTATCTCCTGAATGCCCTGAAAGGTCTTGCCAAGATAAGGAGCTTTTATATAGAAAAAAGTCCTTAAAAGTGGCAGAGCCAAGCTTGGAAAGTACTCCTGAAAAAGAGAAAGGCTTGTATGAGGCCCAGGAAAGAGTATTCTGTCCTGAGGACCAAGTAGTAGAACTATAGTAGAACTATAGAGGGGAGAAAATTGCTTTTGGCAGGGGCAGAACAAGTAGTCCTTAAAACCTTGCAAGGCAAACTCCTACCTAGCTTATCTATGAAGAAGTAGAATTAGATAACACGCTCAGTGCATCTATGCACTTAAAAGACACTCTCCTGAGAATCTTAAAGTGACCCTTGATAGTGGTCCCCCACACAGGGAAAATATTTCAATGAAAATACCTGTGAGTGAATGTGTGAGTGAGGAGAAAGGCGTAAGCCCTGACTTCTTAAAGAGGGATGCATTCAGAGACATTCAGGAGGAGGAGAGGGAACTGCTTACCCTTTCCCCAGCTGAGAAAGTGAAGCCCCGAGCCAGACTTAAAGCAGATGTCACTATGAAATGACAAGCAGAGGATGTCCAGTGGACAACTGAGTGGCCAATGACCTCCAGTCGACAGAAAAGAATGTGGAAAAAGGAGCCAGTGATCATCAGAGGGACCCCTGAGTGCCAGCAGTCATGTGACCAGCTGAAGGAGGTGATAACGACCAGACCAGTCCACAATGCAGACTACAATGGGAAGGTGAAAGACTGGGACTTTGCAAACCACGGAGTAAAAGAGAATCAGATCGTGCCTTGAAAGCCAAATGACTGATGGGGGCAGGGAATAAACCAAGCTGATAATGTTATAAGAAATGTTCTGTTTGTGTATAGTGTGGAAAAACTGAATATTGATGAACTGCAACATGGAGAATGATTCAAGGACTTCTAAAAGTCCTTGGTTAGTTATCTATGTAAAAGTTTCCTGATTGTGGTATATTTCAGTAAAGTTGAAAATGTTAAATATAGTAAGTAAGTATAACTGATAAGATAAAGTATATTATTGAATTGTATTGGAATGTTCAGACTAAAAGAGATTTTGATTGTTATAATAAATATTGTTATTGCTTGCAAAATGATGCCAGAGGGTAAGTAAAGTTTCATGCCACGAAGCATGTTGGTTTGGGATGGAAAACATGTTTCCCCTCCCAAACAAACATATTTAAGCGGGGAGGTATGTAGCGTTCACCATTTGTTAGGTATAAGTTATGTATTATTCATGTCTATGCAAATGTGGTAGAGAGGCAGAGCCAAGAGAGAGCTTAAATGGCAGAGCCTGAGAGGAGGAGTCAGTCAGTCAAAAGTGAGTTGGTGGGAGAGTTTGTCAGAGTGAGAGTCAGAGAGAGAGAGTCAAAAGAGATAAGAGATATTTAGAGACTGATTGAGATAAATAGAGAAGGTGGAAATTATATGGCAAAAGAATAGTATGTGCTTCTGAAGAATTTCTGTGATTAATAAATTGGCTTCACTTTAATAAATAAATTTTGTTTGCATTCATAATACAAGTGTCTGATCAAACGTCATTTATTTTGTGGATTGAGGGAATCCATTGGTGGCAGCAAGAGGAAAACATGACTGGAGCCTTTGTGAGGGCACAAAATGCAGGTGCCTCAAGGAGGTGAGCATCACAATAACCATGTTATGTGCTATCAAGTCGCGCTAAGCTAAGATAAATAGATAGAGAAGGTGCTAATTAATTATATGGCACGAAGAAAGTATGTATAGAGAGACCTGTGAATGATTTGCTGTGAATGATTTTTCCTGTATAGATTGCTATTCGTGCAGTGGAAACACATGTGTAATCTGCCTGATCCTGTAATACTGCCTCGGCAGGAACTCCCACACATCAGAAGTTCTTTGGGATACCAGTCTTCATTTGTTCATTGTAGTACTTCACTGGTCACTCTCTCAATCTAAAAATTCAAGCAAACCTGCTATTCTGAAAAGTGGAGAAATTCAATTCAGCTACTGACCTGAACTGAGCTGACTTTAAGAAACAGTGGAGGAGAATGAGACCATCAGGCATAAATACCTGGTGAATTGATTCAAGTGTGTTTGTGTACTTCTCCTCTGTCTGTTGAATTTCTTGAAGGCAGCATTTCCTTTTATCCAGTTCAGTCATTCTCTGCTGAAGAAGAAATATCACAGAGGAGAACCATATTATCAAAAGTAGTGCCATGGTACAGTTCAAACATATGCTGAAACGTTCAATCAATAGGTCACCTTAAAACTCTTACTATCTATTGGGTCAAGTGTCCCCTTAGTAAATCAGAGTTTCAAATGCCCTGTCTTTTTTGTTGTTGTTTTGTTTAGTCATTTAGTCGTGTCCGACTCTTTGTGACCCCATGGACCAGAGCACACCAGGCCCTCCTGTCTTCCATTGCATCCCGGAGTTGTGTCAAATTCATGTTGGTTGCTTCGATGACACTGTCCAGCCATCTCATCCTCTGTCTTCCCCTTCTCCTCCTGCCTTCACACTTTCTCAACATCAGGGTTTTTTCCAGGGACTCTTCTCTTCTCATGAGATGGCCAAAGTATTGGAGCCTCAGCTTTAGGATCTGTCCTTCCAGTGAGCACTCAGGGATGATTTCCTTCAGAACGGATAGGTTTGTTCTCTTTGCAGTCCAGGGGACTCTCAGGAGTGTTTTTTACTTTTATTCATTATTTCTACAGCACCTAAAATCTACTGGGGACTATATCATTCCAAAGATGCGAAGAGTTAAAAATTGTAATATACTTTGTATGTTAAATGTTTTTACAGATAATTACGCAATTTTAAAATATGGATCAGGGATCTTTCCATTCATAAATCCTGCATCTGTAGATGTCCTCTCTGTTCCATCTCCACGTCTATCCTGTGTTTACTATCATAAGTTTTTTTTTAAAGGAATAGAAATGTCATTTTGTTTCCCTGCCTTTTTGCAAATAAACATATGTTGGGAACAGTATGATAAACTGTATGGATACTGAATGTTCCCAATTCCACTAGGCCCTTTTCTGGTTTTTTTGAAAATCGTTTTTATTTTTAAATTAAAACCAGAAGTGCTCAGACATCTACTTTTGGGTTGTTGTTTTTTTAGTGGTTGGTAGAATTCATTAATCATGTGATTTGAAAATGGTTAATTTTTTTAAACAGCAGAGAGCATGAGTGAGGCTTCTGGGTGGTTGTAGGGCAAATTACTGCCTATTGGCTCTACTCTAAACATCCATTGAAGTCTGTCTAAGAAGTACTTGAAATGTGTGCTCTCGCCGACTCATCCCTAGCTAGCTATCATATACGGATTCAGGATTGTGTCCACCTTCTGGACAGTCCAGGAAGTGTGGATTTGAGGGAGTATGATCTGGGCCCTCAAATCTCAGTCTGAAAACAGACTCCTCATAAATCCCCAGTTTGGACATATCACTGAAGTCGGTGGCGCTTGTGGAAGTTCGTATATCTTACTGCTAACACTGTGAGCAGGTCCCACCTCCAGGACACTTACCGGCATGACGCATGGCTCTGACCTCATTAGGTCCTGGTAGATCTCATCTCCTTCTGCCTCCTCAGTCTCTACACAGTCATACAGATCATCATCTTCCTCCATGGTGTCACTGAGAAAAGGTAAAGAGAACATGATGGAGAATGGTTGAAAAAAATTACCCCAGAAAAAAAAGAGTCAAGTTCAAGGAGGCTCGAATCTGGTTATAACATAGAAGTAAAGGATACACTGGCTTCTCCTCAAGGCTAAATAACCCTAAATGTGTCATTGGGTGCTTCCAGATCAAGGTCTTTTAGATGCTATCACTCAGAAGGACCTTTATGCCTATTCTCTTTTTCCCTCCTCAAGTGATTTTTGTTTTTAGATTGAGGGCTCCTGCTGCTCACGATTAAAAGGCCTCCTACAGCTATTCCGCCTTCCCCTCCCCCCTTGGCATTTTTTCTGGTGAGAAAAAGAAGAAGAAAGAAAGAGAAAAATGTGTAAAAAGTGCAAACTGAAGAGGACAACATTTAAATGCTCTCCCCACAGTGGTAATGGATGTGTGATTCCAGTGAGGCTATGATAAAACTGCAGTCAACAAGCACTCCTGTGATAACAAAAGGAAGGGAGAAGTAGTGATAAGACATGTGAGGTTATGAGAGGAAGATATCATCCAGGGGATTCCTTGTTAAATGTTCTTAATGAGCCACAATTCTTGCACAAGAAAAACCTCGTCTAGAAATAGTTGATGGTAACCAAATTGCATTGCCAGATCTCTCGAGGCTCTAAACCTAAGACTCAGAGCCTGAAATTGAAAGATCAGTGACCATTAAATGGGACTGGATCCAGGACTCAGAGCTTGGAAAGATTTTAAGAAGAATTGATGTAATGACATGCTGAAGCCATCCAGGACAGAGCAATGGTGGGAAGACGCTGTGGAAGAAGGACTCTTCTTTTAAGTGGCATTCCAAACCGAACACAGGGATAGTGTGTGAGAGGGAGTTGGGGGACAACACCTAGCGGTCAAGAAACAGGGCCTAGGTGTGCCTGATAGCTCAGTAGTGAAGCCTGATGGACAGAGTTCTCAGCAAAAACGTTCCACAACCCACTTAGAAAATAGGCTGCCTCTAATCACTGATTTCAGAAGCTAAACTTTCAGAAGTCCTGTGATCCGGCCATCCTAAAGCATTTTGCTGCAAGACAGCCCTAAATGTGATATTGGCTGTTTTTAGACTCACACCAAGTACTTCTCTCTCTCTCTCTCAACACTATTTACTTTAAAACGGTATTTTAAAGTACACATAAAAAAGAAGGAAAAGAGAAAGCATAAAACAAAAATGAAAAACTAAGAAAAAAAGAAGAGGAAAAAAAGAGATTAATATATATCTCACTACCCATACATAGATCTCAACTTTCTTTATCTCCTTTACCTTTTTACATATCCTATATTTTATGTATTTGCCTGGAGCCACACATAAAATAACTCCCATTTCTCATTTTGTGTCTGTTTTGTGTTTTGTTCTAATCCATCTGAGAGTTTATCTATTTCTGTTATGCTCATTATTTTTTCCATCAATTCTTCCTTTGGTGGAATCTCAAAGTTTGTCCAATATTTGCCATAGAGAATTCTATGTCTGTATCATAATAACTAAGTAACTATTTACCTTATCTATAACGTCTAGCATAATATTAAAAACAGTTCTCGTTTTAGTGGTATTTCCTATCTCATTATTTCTTGTAATAAAGCCTTTACCATTTTCCAGTATACTTGTACTTTTTTACACGTCCGCCACCAAGTACTTTCTCTTGTTATAGATCTGTGGCTGCTTGTGGTCGAACCATGATAATGTATAGCTGCTCCAAACCAAAAGGCCTGTAATGTGGTGACAATGTTCACCATGTAAAACAAGAACGATTGCAAAAATCTATTATTTGCCAATATAAGGCAGGCACATGTGGCATAGCAGGAAGTGAAGCTTATCATGTCCTATGATTGCTTCCTCATCCCCCCAGGATCCCATACATTTTGCTGTCAGTAGTACTGTGTGATCCTAGAAATCTGTGCTATGATTCCTTGCATCATGCTGGGGTGTAAGGAGAAGACTAAACTTGAGACACACATTTCTCAGATCACTCCCTGACACTGGCTAGTTAGTACTAGAGCCACAAAGACCACAAACAACTGCTCAGTGACTTACATAATTGTGGTGACCCAGACCTTGGAACTCTTCGGGATGGACCAGCTTAATATAGTGAGAGGCTACCAGTCTGTCATCATGAGGCCAGACTAAATTTTGAGTCTAATGGGTCAACCAAGGGAGAATAGAAGATGGAACCGTATCACTGACAGAAAACAGTGACAATGAGAAATGAGTACTGAAGAAGGTTAAAGAAGAAAATGCAAAACTGGAATTACAGCTGAACATCAAGAAAACAGAAATAATGTTTAGAGCAGAATTAAATAATTTCAGTACTGAGAACAAAGACGTTGAATTAATGGTTTTCTGTGTTTTGGTTCAATTAAAACTTAGAAAGAATTCTTTTGGAAGGGTCACTGCCAGCACAGGACACGAGAGAGGGCCTCCTCTGTGGCAGCTCCCTGGTTACGGAAGGCTCTTCCTCAAGAGAGCAGGCTGGCCCCCCTCCCTTTTATTCTTCCGCCAACAACTGAAGACCCATCTTTTCAGTCAGGATTTTAACAATCGTGATTGAATCTCTGAATGACTTTTTAAAGTTAAGAGAATATTTAAAGTTTACTTGCTTTTAATAATTCAATTGTATTTTAATTAGTGTGTAGTGTTTTTTAAAAATGTTTAACTTCTTATGTTTTTAATTTTATTCATTTTGATATTGCGAAATGCCTTTGGGAGAAATGCAGCCAATAAGTAAGTAAGTAAGTAAGT